AGGCCTTGGAATCAGGAAGACTCATCTTCCTGAGTTCAAACCTGGCCTCAGACACTTACTCACTGGGTGACCCTGGGCAAGTCATTTAACCCTGTGTGCCTCAGTTTCCTCATCTATAAAATGAACTAGAGAAGGAAATGGCAAACCAATCCAGTGTCTTTGCCAAGAAAACCCTGAATAGGGCATGAAGAGTTAGACACGACTGAGAAATGACTGAACAACATATGTTTGTGTATATGGTAATCAGAGGAGAGAATAAGAAGGCCAGTTTGCTCTTGCCCAGATACCTGGGCTATCAGCCCTTAGTTGTTTCTGGCTGATAGCTGGTCTCCTAGGGCCCTTCCCTCACACTAGGATGGACATACTGGGACACAGAGCCCCAGCAAGGTATCCTGAGACTATTACAGGTGTCCTGGGACTCCTGCTCCTGGCTGACCTTCCCCCCTAAAAGTTAATTTAGCCTTAGCCCTCCTCGGTGTTTGTCCTTGTTGGCCCTCCCTTTTCACTATGCTCTCTAAAGCCTTCGTCTTTTGTGTGGCAGTGGTGAGATGGATTTTTGAATCGGGGACCTGAATCTGAATCCCAGTACTGTCACCCATAATGTGATCTTGAGTGAATAACTTCAGTTTTCTAGGGTCTTAGGTTCCTCATCTTTAAAATAAAATCCCTTCCAGTTCTAAATCTATCATCTTAGATATTTTCCTCTCTTACTCTTTCTATCTTCTGGAGATTAATGAAAACTTTTTTTTTTTTTCCTGAAGATACCATATGCTTTGAGGCAGCATACCGTAGAATGGAATCAGAAAGGGTGGGTTCACAGGAGTATATTGTACACAGTAACAGCCACACTGTGCGATGACTGACTTTGATAGACTTAGCTCTTCTCAGCAACGCAACAATCCAAGACAACTGTAAAAGTCTCAGAATGGAAAATGCTATCCACATCCAGAAAAAGAACTACGGAGTTTGAATGCAGATCGAAGCATACTATTTTCTCTCCTTTTTTCCCCTTTCTTGTGGTTTTTCCCTTTTGTTCTGATTCTCCTTTTACATGACCAATGTGGGAATATGTTTAATATGATTGTGCATGTATAGCCTGTATCAGATTGCATGCCATCTTGTGGAGGGGGGAGCAGAGGGGAGGGGAAACATTTTAGAACTCAAAATCTCATAAAACTGAATGTCAAAAACTAAAAACTAATTAATTAATTTTTTGAAAAGAATACGTTCAAATCCCACCTCAAATAGTTGCAACCCTGAGAAAATCACTTAACGTCAATATACCCAATTTCCTCATCTCTGAGGTGAAAGATTTCAATTGGATGGTTTTTGAGATCCGTGATCGATTGATACCCTCTCCAAGGTCAGCTGCTTTTTCTGTCATCTGGGGCCAGGAAGACAAATAGCTTGTGCTCTCCCTGCTTCCCAATGTCACTTTCAGATGCTCCTTTCACTATCTCTCAGCCAACTGAGTCTGGCCATTTAACTGAACCCCATCCTAATCCAGATCCTTCTTGTCTTCATCTAGTGACCTTCAGGTCTCTTTATATTCTCCCAAACAGCATGAACACTTAGCTCAAAGCCTTCGTCTTAATCCCCAAACCTGTCCTTTCTGAGTATCCTAACCTCCTTAACCTTCTCAACTCCTATGACACTTTTCTGGCCTACCTCTGCCACATGCTGGAGTGGTCATTTCTTAGACCAGGTTTCTCAACCTGGAGTCCATGAACTTAAATTTCTTTTTGATCACTGCATTTCATATCATTGGTATTCCTTTGAAATCCTATGTATTTTATGCACTTAAAAACATTATTCTGAAAAAAGAGGCCTTAGGTAAGCTTCACCGGATGGTCAAAGGAGTTCATCACACAAAAAAAGGTTAAGAACTTCTGTGTTGGATGAACCCCACCCCCACTAGACTGAAACTGCCCCAGGTGCCTGAGTTCTTAGTTGCAATTCTGGGAATTGGTGATGTTATCAGGGTATCAGGGTATCAGGTATGGTTGGGAGAAAAGGAATGAATCTAAGATGACCTGGAGATTGTAGTGATAAGGCTTCAATGGAAGTTTGGAGAATGAATAAGGAGGCTAAGAATTCAACATTTTTCACAATGGCTGCAATGACATATAAAAGTAGACATTTGTCTAAAGGAGCTCATAGTTGACTTGGGAGGTAATCTAATTTCCCTATGCTGTTCATTTGAGCCTGAGTTTTATCAAGGGCAGAGGTGGGGAACCTACGGCCTGGAGGCCACATGTGGCTGTCTAGGTCCTAAAGTGTGACCTTTTGACTGAGTCCAAGTTTTTTTTTTAATTTATTTTTATTTTGTTATTTTTAGGCAATTAGGGTTAAGTGACTTGCCCAGGGTCATACAGCTAGTGTCAAGTGTTTGGTCTGAGGCCGGATTTGAACTCAGGTCCTCCTGACTTCAGGGCCAGTGCTCTATCCACTGTGCCACCTAGCTGCCCCCTGAGTCCAAGTTTTACACTAAGGGGATTTGTTTTGTGAGGTTTGGATTTGGTCAAAGTGTTGAGGTTTAGGGGTGCTGGGACCCCAAAATATCGAGAACAAGAGAAGCGGGTCCTGCCCGGATGAATTTGACGGGAGCCTTCTTTCAGCCAAAGACAAGGTTTATTAAAGATACCCCATATTGGACAGACACTTAAGGAATCTAAGCATTTGTATTGCTAATGCAAGGGGGCCAGATTCTAAGAATCTGAGCACCTTAATGGAAGCCAGATGGACCTTATATACAGAAAGACTTTGGGAGGGATCTAGGAGTGTTAAAGTAGTCTGGGGTAACTGGAGGGAGGGATCTAAGGGTGATTTGGATGGGAGTGGCCAGTAAGCTGGGGTGACTGTGAGGTAACAGAATGCTCCGGGGCCTGGACCACGTGGCCAAGGGAGAATGGAGTCTAGCTAGGATTAACGGTGGGAAGCGGCCAGTGGCAATTCAGAGGTAACAGAACAGAATTGGGAGATTGGGCCATAGCCACAATGAAAGGCCAGTTGAGTGGATTACAGGTTCAGGCAAAAGCCAGAGATTTGGGAAAGTTCAGGGATTTTCCTAGAGAGCCACATGTGGCCCTGAGGCCACAGGTTCCTCGCCCCTGATCAAGGGAATAAAGAATAAAATCTATATTTAAAGAAGTATTTTTCCTTTTGCTTTCCCAGCATCTATCAAGAGCAGTATATAATTTAATTACTGAATCCATAGGCTGGACCATGGAGAGAAAGAATGATGTGTCTGCTGTTGTGAGAAATGAGATAGCAGCCCACTGCTCATTCCCATCATTCTTCTTCTGTTGGACTAAATTAATATAGTTAACAAGCTTTTGTTTGGACTAGTAGCTCACAGGCGCGATGCACAGATCAGGACTCGTGATTATTACAGTATTTATTACTTATTGATTGCTGACAGTGCACCCACCCAGCACAAGAGGGAAAGGAATTCTTTTGTCATTTTATTGTGCCTATGTCAATGTTCAATTTAATTCGACTTGGCAGACATTTATTAAACCCTTACTCTGTGCAAAGCATGGTGCTAGGTACTTCGGGAATAATAAGCCTTGGTAAGACATTGTCTACATGGAGCTTAGGGGTAAAAGTGGACGTGAGCCCTCTACAGATAAATCCAATACACCAGATTTAAGGGGGCAATTATTAGAGGACTAGTTGTTTTGAGACAAGGGGTGTGGGTCATAAAGCTTCACAGGATAATAGATTTTTTTTGGGGTGGGGGTTAGGCAATGGGGTTAAGCGACTTGCCCAGGGTCACACTGCTAGTAGGTGTCAAGTGTCTGAAAAAGAATTTGAACTAGGATCCTCCTGACTCCAGGGCCGGTGGTCTACCCACTGCGCCACCTAGCGGCCCCAGGATAATAGATTTAGACCTGGAAAGGTCTTCCATGGTCATCTAGCCCAACCTCATTTTACAGAAGAGGAAACTGAGGTCCAGAGAGTTAAAATACTTTAGGTCACAAACTCAAGGTCATCCTGGCTTGTGAACCAACTTTTAAGCGTCCTACTCAGACTTATTTCTTAGCGTTTAAAAAAAAAAGTAAAATGCAACCCTTTTATTTTACAGATGAAGAAAGGCTTGGAGAGGTTAATATTAACTTCCAAGGGTCATGCACCTATTTGGTTGGGACCCTAACCACATCTCCGAAAATTTCATAAGAAGCAAATATTATTTCCCATATCGCACGCGAAGGGCCCTTCAGAACGCTAACAGCATTGGGTACCAAACACTAGCCCAGACCTCCGGATTTCTGGGCCCACTTCGTGTAGTTATCCCCCACTCCCCCACTCTCCTTCAGGCCTGCAGCTTCATTACTCTTATCTAATTCGCACTTAGCATCCTTTCTGGTTTTTAGGTCGGGGGGTGGGGGGTGGGGGTGGGGTGCAAAAACTCGCTCGGTTTCATCCAAAAGAAAACCTGTTAGAAAAATAACACCACGCCATTCTCGTCCATCAAACGACCCGCCCTCTGGGAATCTGGAAAGAGTCCAACACTCCAAAGCCTAGAGCTGGAAACGAGAAAGGGCAGAAGCGGAGCGCGGGAGGCGGCCCGGAGGAGGCAGTGCAGCGTCCCCGGCCCGGGGGAGCCCGGCCCACGGCCAGGCGGCTGACCTGCGCCCTCGGGGCCGCGCGCGCAGGGGCGCCGCGCACTTCTCCCGGGTGGGGGGCCGCGCTGGCTCTCCATCTCCATCCGCAACTTGGCGCGGGAGAAGCTTGCGGGGTATTAGACAGACTTTCGCGCCAGTTTGCGAGCCCAGGGGGCCGCGTGGCGCGGGCAGATGGAGGCGGGGCTAGGGTGGGGGAGGACGCAGGGAGGCGGCTCGGGGAGATGGCGGGAGACGGCGAGGCGTGCCCGGGCTCGCCTCCCTGCTGGGCGGCCCCGGGAGCCGCGGGCGGGCGGGCGGGCGAGCGCGCGCAGGGACCCGGGTTGGGGGCGCCGGCCCCGCCTCCGGCTCCGCCTCTTCCCGCTTTTGTCGGCGGCGCGTGGAGGCGGGAAGGCGGCTGAGGCAGCGGCGGCGGCGGGATGAGCGGGGACCGGCTTGGAGGGTACGCTCTGCTCGCCTCCTTCCCTTCCTCCTCTTCCTCCCTTCTTCCTCCTCCTTCTGCTCTTTCTTCCTCCTCCTTTTCTTTTCCCTCTTCTCCTTCCTCTTCTTCCCCCTACCTCCTTTTTCCTCCCTCCCCCCTCCTCCTGCAGCTCTCCCTCCACTTTACTCCTTCCCCCACCTCCTCTTTCCACGCCCCCCCGTCCTAGCCTGCCCTTCCCCCTGTCCTGTCCTCCCTCCTCCTTCACCCCTTTCTCCTCCCCCGCCCCGGCCGCTGCGCCCCGGGGTCCCCACGCACGAGGCTCTGGGCACCTAGGCTGGTGCGCAGCTGGGAGGCCCCCTGCGGTGGGAGTCCGGACCCTTCTGGGGTGTTACCGTCATTGTCAGGTTCACATTCAAGGCTCCGCGTGGAGGAAAGGTGCTGGGCTTTGGGGGCGTTTGCACTGGAGTGTGTTCAGCCCGCCCACACTACCTGTCCCCAAACCCACCCAAATACCCTGGAAATGGGGAAGAAGGGGTGTAGACTGTGAATGGATCCTGGAATGACCTGATTAATTGAAACCTAACTTTATAGTTCGGATGCCTCAAACTCCCGTAATAATCATACCAATAATAATCATAATGGCCTAATAGCTAGCATGGTTTGCAAAGCGGCTTAAAAATAATTGCTTGCATTTATTTAGCAGTGTCGTAATTTGTAAAGTGCTTTTCCTGTATGATCTTCAACCCTGGAGGTAGTTGCTACCATTTTCATTTTACAGATGAGGAAACCGAGGTTTAGGGACAAACTAAATTAGTAAAAGGCCAAAACAGGATTTGAACACAGATCCTTATTCTAAGTACAGTGCACTGTCTTATTATTCCACGATTATACCAAAAGAAGCTTTCTCCTAGGGAAACAATACATAATGTTGGTATATTCCCTGTCAAAGTATAAAAAGAAAAAAAAATTAGCCCTTTGGGTGTCTCTGATCTGAATTCAGAATAACTCTTCCCCTACCTTTCTGCCCCAATTCAAGTCAGTTTATTTTCAGTATTACAAGCCAGCTTAGATGAGGGTCACTGGGGAGAGGATTGATGGTGGACGGCACTCCTCTTTTAGTACTTGGAAAATCAGTTCCAGAAACAAGCAATTATTAAATGTCTTCTGTGTGCTATGTGCTGGTGTACAGAGACAGAAAGAAAACGATTCCCAGCTTCCATTCTGTTGGAAAATGTACCTTGGCCTCTTTGCAGGAAGAGTTTCAGCTTTTCCAGGCTAATATTTTTAAGTGCCCTTGCTTGGCTGGGTACTGTTAGTTTTCTTTTTCACCACACCTTCATGAAGTAGTAATAATAGTAACTGAGATTTATATAGCACTTGGATGTTTGCAAAGTGCTTTACATAGATTATCTCATTTCAACCTCAAAAATAGTCCTGTGAAGTAGGTGCAGCAGCAGTTACCTGCGTGTTACAGCTGAGAAAAACTGAGACTCGGACCTTAAGTGAGTTCACCAAGGTGAATAAATGTTAGAAGTGAGATTGGAACCTAGGTCTTGCAGACTGGGCGCTCCAGCAAAGCTTTTGGAAGGCCCTCCCCCTCCTAGACTGCATCTCTGTGGTTTCCGCATGACTTCTCTGCCAAGCCTGGTGCTTGAGCACAGACAGGTTCCAGGGTGTTCTACTGAGGCCTTGCCTCTTTTCCTCGATGACCTTTCCAGGAGTTGGAGTTCTTGGCTCCCTTTCATGAGGGAAATTTATAGTTCATACCACTGTCAGTCAACAAACATTTATTAAACCTTTACTGTGGTGTCAGGCACTGTGCTGTGAAGGAATATTTTAACTTTGTTGTTGGTATTTATATTCTTCAAAGTGCCTTGCAAAAGTGTTATAATAATATTAACTAATATTTACATAGCACTTACTACATGCCAGGCACTGTGCTAAAGTGCTTTACAATTATTATCTTGTTTGGTTCCCATTTTCCAGGTGAGGAAACTGAGTCAAACAGACTCGCCCAGGATTACACGGCTAGTTAGTGTTTGAGGCTGTATTTAAACTAGAGTCTTCCCAACTCCAGCCCTAATGTTCTGTCCACGATACCACCTAGCTATAGAGCAGATTTTATTAAACTTACAAGGGAGGAAATCGAGGCACGTTGTTGCCCAGGGTCATATAGCTAGATGTACAGATCCCTGCATCATCTCTGGCTGTTGTAAATTGTTTAACTTCTAGAGAAGTGTTATATGGGTTGTGGTTATTAGTCATTTCAGTCCTGTCCAATTTTCTGTGACCCCATTTGGGGTTTTTTTTGGCAGAGATACTGGAGTGGTTTGCCATTTCCTTCTCCAGCTCCATTTACAGATGAGGAAACTGAGGCAAACAGGGTTAAGTGACTTGCCCAGGGTCACACAGCTAGTAAGTGTCTGACACCAGATTTGAACTCAGGAACATCAATCTTCCCTATTCCGGGCCTGGTGCTCTATGCGCTATGGCGCCACCTCGCTGGGGGCTGTTGGCCAAAATGACCTGTTTGTTTTTCTCGAATGCTGGGCTTTAACATTTCTTCTTCTTCATCATCATTATTGTATTGCTTTTGTCGTCCCTGCAGCTCAAGCCACAGTGAAACAACTAGTAAAAAACGGGACGACTATTTGGAATGGCCCGAGTACTTCATGGCTGTGGCCTTTTTGTCTGCCCAGAGAAGCAAGGATCCAAATTCCCAGGTAGGACCATTTCGAAGAGTGTACTTCACTCACACTCACACAGATGCACATAAATGCATTAATGGCCGAAAAGGGAAAACTTAGGAGACTAGCCATTAATTTTAAGATTTAGGATAAATCTGCCGTCTCCGTGTTCGCAGTTTTATTTCTTTCTTATAGTTCACTGCCGAGTACATTGTGTGGTTCTTCAGTTAAGTGCTTCATTGCAGCAGGAATTTGTTGAAAGACTGGTGGATTGTGGGGGCAAGATTGAGGAATGGGTAATCAATCAATCAGTCAAGCATTTATTAAGCACCTGCTATGTGTGAGGCACTGTGCTAGGGACTGGAGATATAGATACAGATACAGAGAATATAACAATCTCATTCTAACAAGATAGGGCACCCCACAATGTCTTCCACTTCAGTGGCGTTGGAGTTAATTGTATTTCTGGTTTCATTAAATTTTTCTGCTTATAATAGTAATGATAAATCAAGTGATCTCTCTTGTGGACTATCACAGTACTTTCTGTTTCTTATGTACTATGTACATACACCCAAGGAGGGACTGGGACCCAAGTTTCCTCAACTCTGAGGCCGGGTCTATACCCACTATACCACAATATCTATCATTATTAGCTGTCTCACTATCCTCCTACTGGATCGTAAACTCCTTGAGGGTAGAAACCATGCCTTACTCATCTCTGAATTCCTTCAGTATCTACCGCTGTGACTTATCTTTGTCGCTGTGTCTGGAGTCAGGAAGACCTAAGTTCAAACCCAGTCTCAGACACTTAGTAGTTGTGTGACCTTGGCAAGTCACTTAACCTCATCCTCAGTTTCCTCATCTTTAAAATAGGGGTAATAATTATACCTACCTCCTAGGGTTGTTGGGAGGATCAGATGAGATAATGGTGAAGTACTTAGTATTGTGCCTGGCACATAGTAAGGGCTATATAGACCTGTTAATTATTATATTGTTATGATGTTATATATAATATGTTATATAATAATATATAATGTTATGTATACTATTATACATTATTATATAATGCTATATATAATATATTATATAATACTATTTAATGTTATAATGTTTATTATATTGTTCTATATAATATGTTATATATACTATTATACATTATGCAATGTTATTTAGAATATATATTATATAATACTATATAATGTTATGATGTTAATTATATTGTTATAATGTTATGTATATGTTATATAATAGGTTATATATACTATTATACATTATATAATATGTTAGATATAGTGTTATATTTACTATTATACATTATATAATATATATTATATAATACTATATAATGTTATAATGTTAATTATTGTGTTATTTTTTAAAAAAATTTATTAGTTACTGTTGTTAATTCAGTGCTAATATTTTTTAAGAGCCCTTGTTAGGCTGGTAACTGGCTAGGTTTGTTTCTCATAGCACCTGTATGAAGTAGTAATAATAATCATAGTAGCTAACACTAATGTTGTCCTTGGACATTTGCAAACTGTATTCTACGTATGATATTTGAAACTCATAACTCCTCTTTGAGGTAGCTCCTATAGATATTCCCATTTTATGGATGAGGAAACTGAGACTTGAAAAACTTAAGTGATTGCCTCAGGTCACACATGAGTAAATGTCAGAGGTAGGATTTGAACACAAATCTTCCTGATTCTAAGTCTGGATCTCAAGTTGAATTGAAATCATTTGGGCTTTTTTTTTCCCTACTTAGGTTGGGGCTTGCATCGTCAATGCAGAAAACAAAATTGTTGGAATTGGGTACAACGGTATGCCCAATGGGTGCAGTGATGACTTGCTTCCTTGGAACAGGGCGGCCGAGAGTAAACTGGACACCAAATACCCTTACGGTAGGGAACATGACCTGATCTCTGTGACAGATGTGTTTCACCTCCGATCTGTTACTAAATCAGAGAGCTGGCCAGAAATCTCTCTCCTTTTTTAGCTATCAACAGCTAGGGAAGGAAAATCCTATTAAAATACTTGAATCTGTTGACCCTGCCTACCCCTCAAATGCCGCAGAGGTCCAGCAGATGGAGGGACAGGAGGGCAGCTGTATACAAGTGGACACTTGGTAAATTTCATTGACTCACTGATGCTGTAGAGACAGAGCCAGGGCTGCTGCTAAAGTTTGCCTGAAGAGAACCAGAGCCACAGAGATGTTCAGAAGTGATGGAAGAATGTTCTCTGTGACTCCTTGGTCTACTTCAGTATCATTGGGAATGCTGAGCAAAGGTGGCCTCCTGGCCAGGGCAGTGCTCTTCGAGGGGGAGCCTTAACAGCCAGATGATGCCATCTCAGCTGTAGAGATAAAAACAGACAGGGATGAAGGAGAAGGTGGATTGCTGTTGTGTGTCATATACAGATGCTATTCCATAATGGTAAACCACACTGCAGCTATCTAGGTGTGACTCTTCTGCCTCCTGGCCTCTCCAAGATTGAACCAGTCACCTTCCTTTTTACAGAGAAAGTTGGGTAGGATGTAGATGGGCAGTATGAGATGAGTAAGTAGCTGTCAGATGGTAGAAGGCCTTGAATGCCAGGTTAGAATTTGAACCTTATTTAGTAGGTAACAGAGAGCCATTGAAAGCTCTTTACAAGTTTATAGGTTCACAGATACAGAATGAGAAGGGGCCTTAGAGACCATTGTATACAACCCCCTCCCCCATTTTACAAATGAGCCTGCTACACAGAAAAGTTAAGTGACTTGCCTGAGGTCACTCAGGTGTTGAGTGGCTCACCTGGGATTTGAGGTGGCACAGTGGATACAGCACCGGCTCAGAAAGACCTGAGTTCAAATCTGGCCTCAGACACTTACTAGCTGTGTGACCCTGAGCAAGTCACTTAACCCTCTTTGCCTTAGTCCTTCATCTGTCAAATGAACTGGAGAAGCAAATGGCGAACCACTCCAGTATCTTTGCCAAGAAAACTCCAGATGGGGTCATGAAGAGTCAGATACAAATGAACAACAAAAACAACAGCTGATTCCAAACCTACCATGTTTTCCATTGTAGCCATCTGCTTCTTCAGTTCCTTCCATTCATTGCTCCTAATTCCACCCTCTGGGGCCATGGAGAACAAATGTAATCCTTCCATTTGACAGACTCCAAGATATATGAAATTAATTATCCCGTCCTTATAGTCTTCTCTTCAGTTTAAACATCCCTGCTTCTTCCAACCATCCCTCTGATGGCATGACTTTAAGTCTCCTTCCTCTCATCAGTCCCTCTTCTTTTGATATTTTCTAGCTTGTCAATGCCCTTCTAAAATGTGGCTCTAAGAATACTCCAACCATGGTCCAACTAGGGCAGGGCACAGTGGGTCTGTCAATCAACTAGTAAGGATTTATTAAGTATCTACTATGTGCAGACACTATGTTTGGGAATACAAGTTCCAAAGACTGAATACAAAGACTGAAGCAATCTGTAGTCTCAAGGAACTTAACATTCTTTTTTTGGTTTTGTTTTGTTTCGTTTTGTTTTGAGGCAGTTGGGGTTAAGTGACTTGCCCAGGGTCACACAGCTAGTAAGTGTCAAGTGTTTGGTCTGAGACTGAATTTGAACTCAGGTCCTCCTGACTTCAGGGCCAGTGCTCTATCCACTGTACCACCTGGCTACCCGGAACTTAACATTTTAGTGGGAGAGAAAACAAGTATGTGTCTTAAGTTGTTGTGTTTGTCCTTTGTTCTTGAAGAGGACCATGAAATCAGGGAGATGATGACATGACTTGCAGTTGACTTTGATTTGAGTGAGGGAGGGCTGTGCAAGGTCACCAGCCTCACTTTCTTCTCCAGAGCCATCTGGGTCCAGTGGCCAGATATTCATCAGGATGATCCAGGATGACCTGAGATGACCCAGGATGCAGTGGGAGACGGCCCTTTTAAGCTAAGGTCTTTTCAGGTTCTCACTTTGAATGAGGCAACACCCATTCAATGAATAGGCCTCTTTAAGAAGTGAGTCAAGGGATGGCACCTTTAATAAAAAAAAAAAAAAATCAAACAGGGAGGAGAATGAATGTAAATACAGTTTCTTTCGTCCTGTGTGTCTTAAGTTTGTTCAACATAAAGTGAATAGAAAAGATAAAATAAGAAATAAATAGAAAAATAATAAAAACAATAGAAAATAAATATATAGAAAGTAGTTAAATACAAGGTAGTTTTGGAGAGAGGGTACTAGTAGCATGTGTGGAGGGGCATTAGGGAGGAGATACATGAGCTGCCTCTTTTTAAATTTAAATTTATTTTTACCATTCTTTTTTTATTTTTGAATTTTGAGTTCCAAATTCTCTTCTTCCCTCCAGCCCCTGCCATCCCATTATAAAGGCAAGCAATATAGTATCAAGTATATGGGTGAAGACATGCAAAATATATTTTAAAGGAAGGGCAGCTAGGTGGTGAAGTGAATAGAGCACTGAGATTAGAATCAGGAAAACTCATCTTCATGAGTTCAAATCCAGTCTCAGACACTTACTAGATGTGTGGGCAAGTCACTTAATGCTGTTTGCCTCAGTTTCCTCATCTGTCAGATGAACTGGAGAAGGAAATCGTGAACTACTTCTATATCTTTGCCAAGAAAACCCTAAATGGGGGTCGCAGAGTCAGACAAGACTGAAAAACAACCCAACAATAAGTCTTTTTTTGTGTCTTGATTTTTTTTTAATTATTTAGTATTTTATTTTTCCTCAATTACACGTAAAACAATTTTTAACATTCATTTTTAAAATTCTGAGTTCCAAATTCTCTCCCCTCTTCCCTCCCCTCTTCCCTCATTGAGAAGGTGAGCAATTTTATATAGGTTATGCATAATAACAATAATCTTAAAGGAAGATAGGGCCTTTGTGAGGCGGAATTGAGGAAGGAATACATTCCAGGCACGAGGGATGACCATTGCACAGGCACAGAGATGGGAGAGTAGTATAGTGTTGGAAGCCAGTTTAGCTGGATGACAGTGTGGGAGGGAGAGTCATGTCCAGTGAGTTTAAAAAGACAGGTAGGGAAAGGCTTAAAAAGTTGAACAGAGAAGTTTATCTCTTATCTTAGAGGCAGTAGCCCCCTGGAGTTGATGGAGTAGAGAAGTCACATGGCCGGCTCTGCACTTAAGGAAAATTACTGCTCTTGCCCTGTATGACTGTACTTTTGTTATTGTGGCCTAAAATTACATTCACTTTTTTGGTTGTCATCATCAGACATCTTCAGTTCACTAACCTTCTGAGGTCCTTTGTACAAGGACTGTTGTCTAGTCACATCTCTCCCATACTGTGGGGTTGATTTTTTGAACCCAAGTTCAAGGATTTTTTTTTTAACATTTATCCCTATTAGATTTCATCTTATTACATTTGGTCCACAGTTCTAGCCTTTTAAGATCTTTACGAATCCCAATTCTGTCACTCAGTGGGTTCTCTATCCCTCCGAGCTAGCTTTCATTTCTAACTTTAGCTAACCATGTCATCTATACCTTTCTCTAAGTCATTAGCAAAAATGTTTAAGGCCAAAGGACCAAGAATAGATCTCTGGGGGGTCCCACTCCACCAGAGGCTTCCCTCTAAGGTGACATTGATCCATTTAATCACCATTCTTCCCATCTGGTCATTCAGTCAGCTCCAAATCCACCTACCTCACCTACCTGTCTCATCCACAGGGAAGCATGAGAAACTTTGTCGATATCCAGGTATATCATAGAGAGTGTACAACAGTCCTTTGATCTGCCAGCCTCGTAACCCATCCACCGAGGAAATGTGATTAGTCTGGTATCAACTTGTCCTTAATGAACCCATGCTGACTTAGAATGATCCTGGCTTCCCTTCCTGAGTTCTCACAAACTACCACTTTAACAAAGCATTCTGGAATTGTGCCAGAAATTGTCATCAAGCTCACTGGCCTTTTGTTTGAAGACCTCACTGTCTTCCTTTTTTTCTTTTTTTTTAAATCTTGCAGTGCTTCGCTATCTCCAGTTCTATGGTATCTCTCCCATTTGCAGGCTAGTAGTTGTAATAATAAATAATGATAATAATGAATAATGATACTAGCTAGCATTCATATAATAGCTAGCTGATGCAGTCAATAGAACATTGGCCTAGATTCAGGAAGACCTGAGTTCAAGTGTGGCTTCAGACACAAGCTGTGTGACCCTGGGCGAGTCACTTACCCCTGTTTGCCTCAGTTTCCTGAGCTGGAGAAGGAAATGGTAAACCACTGTGGTATCTTTGCCAAGAAAACCCAAATGGGGTCATGAAGTTGGACACAACTGAGATGACTAAACAACAGCAATGTGTGTGTGTGTGTGTGTGTGTGTGTGTGTGTGTGTGATTTTCAGGTTTGCTAAGTACTTCATGTATGTTGACTTACTTGATCCTAACAACAACCACATGAGGTAGGCATTATTATTATCTTCATTTTATGTGTGGTAAACTGAGACTTAGGGTGTGACTTGCCCAAGGTCACACAGCTAGTAAGTATCCGAGTCAGAATTGGAACTCAGGTTTTCCTAACTCCAAGTCTAACCATATATCCACTATGCCACCTCAAAGGTCATAGCATCATAGGATTCTGCAGCTGGAAGGGGTCCTCAGAGGCTATCTAGTATAATTCCTTCATCTGAGTGCTAATACTAATAACAGTAAAAACAATACAGACTGTCCCAAATGTCTTAGTGCAGTTTAAAACTGTTATGGCTTAAGTAAGAGCCAGTGATAGCTAGCATTAGCTCACTTTCGTATGGTGCTTTAAGGTTTACAAAACACTTTACATTTGTTATTTCATTTTACAGATGAGGAAACAGGCCTAGAGTTGCCCAAGATCACATATGTAGTATATGGTAGAGGGTGTCAGACTGAGACCCTCTGACCCCATGTC